CTAGAGCAAACAAACTTCGTCTGGCATGCGACCAACTTGTGCGGCTTGGTACTTTTGTTACACGTCTGACTTACTTTTAGATGAGTATCCTTATCTCGGCCAAAACTATTCAGAATAAAAATAATAAAAAGATACCTTTTTTTAATTTTTAAAACGATGCGCTAAGAATTACTCCCATACGGCGGCTATGTCATAAATTTATTCACATATACTTTTCACGGGGTAAAACACCGCCAACTTCCTGACTCCGAGCTGCTAATTACACTTTCTTTACAGAAAACACAATTACTGATTTTGGCCCGAGCCGGGGTGCGAACCCGGGACCTACGGCCACTAGTACAGCGAGACAGTCAACTTGTTCGTCTTGTGGTTATTACTAATAAAGCCACTTTTACCATATAGTAGTCATAGACTGCATTGAACGTCGTTATTAGTTCTATAGTAACAGAACTACCTATTAATGGAAAATTTGATTATTGCAAAGTGCAATTATTGTATGCACAAAATAATTTTTCTACTAAAACCTGCTAGTGTTAAAGCCCAAAAATAGAGTAAATTATACAATTTTTTTTACAGAATAAGGGTGATAAGCGAGCACCACTTGTAATCTTACCATCTTTTTGAATTGGTTATTACTTTTTTAATGTTTAATTATTAAAAATAATTGAATTGTTGTAAAATTATACGTGGTAGAGCCATGCTGTAGCTATATTAGTAGTATAGTTGTAGCAGGAATGGGTCGGCTCGACCGGGGAACGATCACGCTCTCACAGAATACCAGCGTAAAATAGCAGCATAACGCTTCTGTGTTTCGTATGGTGAGTGTAGAAAATCGGAGACCCTTTTTACTGGAAACGAGACATTCCATCTTAGTCCTCACGGATGACAACGCATCTGCATTTTGATTGATAATCGAGGATAGATGTAGGTGTCTATGGGCCACAGCAACCACTTACCATCAGGTGGACTGTGTGCTCGTTTGTCACCCTATCCTATAAAAAAGAAGATAGATAAAATGATTTGCCACGCAATTTAAATTTAACAGCGCTTCATTCTTCAATATTAAATTAGCGAAATCACAACCTTAAAGTACTTAACCCTTTGGTGTGAATATTTATTTTTGCACACTACGATTTTCTCCTGTATCGTGGAGACAGTTTACAAACGTATATTGCACAAGGACCAACTTACGGACCCGCAACAATGAATAATTGAAGTCGACTAGTAAGTGAATAGATGGCACCACGGGATTTCGTCTCTTAAGGGATATCGAACTCAGTTACATAATGTCTAGAGCTAACCACCTGGAGATAAGGCCAACTCATGTATCAATTTATTGAAATTCCTAATTCATGCCGTAATTTGTTTACAAGTAAATAATAAACAAATAAAAAGAATTTCATTTTTAAAAAATGTAAATTGATTTATTAATTAAGAGACTTTATGAGCAAATCAAAATTCATTTTGCTGTATTACGAAGTAGGTTTCTGACTTCTATTTAACTTTAAAATAATACTTTTTTGTAAGCTCCCTCACTCCGAGGAGAAAATTACTGAGATATAAAAGCATACGATGAATTTATCAGCACTTTAAGGCTATTTACATAATCTGAGGGATTCTCTTCCCCTGCATATCTCCCGTTTTCCATTCCACAAATTTTCGTAACCTTTCCGTCCATTTTTTGTCAAGTATGCAGTAGATGTAAACCTCTACTTCACGCTGGTATTCTGTGAGGTCGTGGTACCACCCCGGTTCGAGCCGGCCCATCCGTGCGACGGCAAAAGCTGCCGCGTGGGTCTACCACTACACCTTTTAACTTTTTTTTTTAACATGGCGACATTAGTTACTACTAGCGGCTTCTAGTATCAAGTAGCAGAAAAAGGAGAGTCAAGATACTTCTAGAAATTTCCATGGAAGAACTTTCTAGAACTATCGACGCCTATTCAGTCGGGACAGGTATGTACTCGAACATTCTAGATGTTTCTACAGTAGAAGATTCTGGAATTATCTAAGGCCCTATATAAGGTCTTTTGTTGTTATATGTCTTTTGTTATTACTGTGGTTTTAAGTTGTAATTTGTGTTTTTTTTTAGGAGAGTGGGCAAACGAGCATGCGGCACACCTGATGGTAAGTGACTACCGCCGCCCATGAACAACTGCAACACCAGGGAGGGAATTGCAGATGCGTTGCCGGTCTTTTAAAAAGGAGTACGCTCTTTTCTTGAAGGTCCCTAAGTCGTATCGGTCCGGAAAAATCGCTGATGGTAATCGATTCCACAAGGAAGTCGTGCGAGGAAGAAAACATCTTCTAAATCGCACAGTGGTGGACCGCCAATCATCCAGATGGTGTGGATGGTATCGGGAGTTCTGTCGCGATGTGCGTTCGTAAATTTGGCGGCTGGGATTAATCCGAACAATTCCTCAGAGCACTCCCCATGGTAGATGCGTTCTATAATTAGTGTCAATTTTGGTAATTCACTCGGCAATTTTTAATTATCTCGAACCCCAAGCTCGTAACAATATATATTGTTAACAGACGCATATATTCATAGTTATATATATATATATGTGTGTGCATATTGGTGTAAATGTATGTATAGGTTATATTTGTATTGTTTATTTATTAGTTAAATGTAAATATTATATAGTTAATTATTTATTTATTTTAACTTACGTCTGAAAAGTAACATTTTATCACTCACTGCACTTACTTATCAAACCATAGGCTACTTCTAGGTTACTGAAAAACTTGAAATTTGGCATTTAAGTATGTAGATAATTAGGCGTTTGAAAGGCATACTAGAGCGTCATGTCGTTTACCGTTACGGCATACGGGTTGGTTTTACTGATAAGACGCGTCATTAGATGTATGGATGGTGGATTTATTTATAAGTTTTTAATTCTGTGTGTAAGTGAAAAAAATCTGTAGGAAAAAATGTATCGATACTTTGAGGTATCGTTACTTTAGTTAAGATACTTTTACAACTTACGAGAACAATAGCGATACCACGAGGAGTAATCGATACTGTGTCCCTAAGCGTATTAAAATGTATGAGTATTGTCTAGATTATTTTATAAGTACTCGTATGTCTGTGTAATCGGTATTTTATTATTAAAAGTTAAAAGGACGGGTAGTGTCTCAACAGTGAACTCAGTAAGTAAATTAATTTGACTTTCCCAGCAGCTTACAGCAACGACAAGGAATTTTCTTTTTAATTGGAACGCCTATTTGAAAAAAGATAGCCTGAGCTAAAATTCTGCGGGGAACGATAAATAAAATTTTATTAATAATAATTAATAACTATTTAATTAATAATAATTATAATTTAATGTTTTGTGTTAATAATTATTTCAGATTTTAATATTACTATTATGTCAATACTACGTCGTTGGTCTAGTGGTCGTAAATGCGATTTCTGATCAGGAGGTCCCGGGTTCGAATTCCGAGTTGGGCCAAAAAATCGTTTATTGAGTTTTTCTGTCAACATATTGCTATATGTTGACAGAAAAACCCAAGAAGCGATTTTTTGCCAGGAGTTAGGAAGATGGCGGTGCTTCACCCCGTGACTCGGAAAGCACGTTTCTGCACTTGATCACTCTCCGGTAGTGTCGAATTTCCGTCCCATCGGACTATGAGAGTGAGGGTATAGAGAGTACACTTGTGTTAGTTAGTTTTTACTTTTATTAAGTTTAATTTTATTTATTTTTTATTCTGACTTCTATATTTTGTATTTTAGTTTTTATATAAATAAATCAAATCAACAAAGATTTTTCTTTCGTAACTCAATTCAAGCCTCGAAAAATTTATGAGAAACCTAACGTACACGCCTAACGTTTAAGTCGCGCGACGTAGTGCTGTCATCAGTCAACACACGCGTCAAATATAGTAATCTAGTCCCTGTGAATTCCCAAACACGATTTAACAATTTGGATTTTTTTTTCTTTCAAATATAATAAAATAGCAAGAGTTCCTCAGTTATATGCAACAATGTGTGAAATATCAGTTATGTTTGTACATTATACTTGAAGGTTTTCAGAAAAGAAAGCGTAGAGTTGATCTCCTGTATTTCATATAAAAATGATGTGTCAACATATTTAGGATAACAATCTGGCACAAAACTTTTATATTTATATTACATTGTAATGTATTTTGATTGTTATCTGTTTTGTTGTCCATATAATAAATAAATAAATTAATTAATTAATTAATTAAAGAGTTTAATACATTTTTTGAACAAAATGCTTACATTTTTCAACTCATTTGGATTTATTGCGTGCTCATATTGCTGCTGTACGTTTTCTTATAGGTAGCCAGCTCTATGTTGAATCAGTTCTTCCTTCCATGTGGTAGGGGTCGCCACTATGATTACAAGTATTTTAGCTTTATCTATTTTTAACTATATTGCCGACCCATTTCTATTTTTAATAATAAGTAAAATTCTTCATTATTCATGTGAATCTCTTTGAGATCATATATGTTATTATTAAATTAATACAAGCAAAAGTATTATTTCACCACAAAGTCAACAACTTGACAACGAGACAGATCTGTAATGAACTGTCGAACGGCAAATGTGCGCCGAGCCCCCGACAGATGTCGCTGCGAATTTGCTCCAAATTGAACTTTTTCTCATGACTAGAATCATAGACTACGAGAGTATAAGACGTGTTTATTTTCGCTCCGCGAATTTTAAATCTAAAGTGCAGTAAATTTTAGTTGCTATAGCATGTGTTTATAACATTATTTTCGTTAAAAAGTGCTCTTTCCAATGGTGAAATCAGAATTGTAAAATACAAAGGGAATCGTAAGATATAAGCGAAAATATTTCAAATTTTTTTTGTAACGTACTTTGACGCTGACCTACGGTAACACGCATCGAGCCCGCTTCGCGTGCCTCCGTGCTGTGTTTAGTCACTACTTGAACGTCGCCGTGCTACATTCAGGCGGTCGAGTTGTAAAGGAAATATATTTTTATATTATATTATTTTTTGCTATTAAAAATGAATGCTTGTAATGGCGGTTGCAACAAGCCTCTGAAGGCTAAAGAAAAGATTTCCTGCTCTCAAACTAACTGCAAAAAACAATTTCATTACTTTTGTGTTCAACTGACAAGTGCTAAAAAGCCGTCTAACTGGAAATGCCCTGACTGCATTCAAGAAATGTCATCAAATCAGCGTAATAAAATCAAAAATTGTACACCCGGTAAGAACTCTTTATCTAAAGATATCAATGAATCACTCGACGAACGTCAAAATGTAACCTTTACTCGGGGTAATACTTTAAATAATAGCTTCGTTGAAGAAACTGTCAATCTACGGTCTGCTGTCAGAAATATTTTGCATGAAGAAATAAGAGATATTGTACGAGCAGCAATAAGCGAAGAGTTTTCCATATTAAGAAAGGAATTACGCAGCTGTGAAGATTCTTTAAGCTTTTTGAATAATAAATTTGAAGAAATGAAAAATAATGTTGAGGCCTGTGTGGAAATGAATAAAACAATCCAGCTAGAGAACAACTTATTGCAGCGCAAAGTCAATGATTTGGAATCGAGGTTGTCTGTTATAGAGCAGGACTCGAGGCAAAATAATATAGAAATTCATTGTCTACCAGAGCACAGACAAGAAAACTTAGTTAACACTCTTATGCAAATCAGTAAAGTAGTTAGTTTTCCTCTTACAGAAACTGACATTGTTGCCTGTAATAGAGTTCAAAAACAAAACCCAGCCTCAAAAGTACCCAAAACAGTTATATGCAGATTTGTCAGTAAATTAAAACGCGACAACTTACTTGCAGCTGTATACAAATATAACAAGTCTCATCCCAAAGCAAAATTGAACACCAAACTTTTAGGCTTTGGTGATGTTGAATCAGCCGTCTACATCAGTGAACATCTCACCCAAGCTAATAAATCACTGCATGCTGCAACGAGAATCTGGGCGAAAGAGAATAATTACAAATATGTATGGATAAAAAATGGAAGAATTTTTGTTAGAAAAGACGATGAACATCCAGCAAAAGTGATATTACACCAGTTTACTTTGAAATCTTTAAATTAGATTTTATATCTTTTTAGCAACGGTCATTGTTTTTAGTTTTAAAATTCGCTCTTAACATTTATTACCAAAACATCCGCGGTATGCGGACTAAATTACCTGATGTCTTTTTGGAAGTTAGCGCTAACAATTTCGATTTAATCGTATTAACAGAGACTTGGCTTAACGATAGTATATTTGATAATGAAATTTTCGATAGTAGGTATCAAGTATTTAGGAGGGACAGATCATCCAACACTTTTAATGAGAATAATGATGGAGGTGGTGTTGCTATCGCTGTGAAAAAGTCAATTAGTGCTTATAGAAACCAAAATTTTGAATCTCGTTGTGAAGATTTATGGGTAACCCTAGAGCTGGGTAACTATAGAATCTATGTTTGTTCAGTTTACTTACGTTCTCCTCTAAATCAAACTCATCTCAAGCATTTTACTGAAAATGCTGGTAATGTCATTAATAATACATGCAATGATATTCTTATTTTCGGAGATTTTAATCTGCGTGACATTGTTTGGACTCCTTCTAATGCAGATTCATCGCTTAAACCCAGCAATTTCGATAATATCTTCGGTTATGAATTCGTAGACTTTTTGTCTAGTTATGATCTAAAGCAATATAGTCAGATCTCTAATCACCAGGGCAAAATTCTCGACCTCGTGCTGAGTAACATCTGTGATATTTCCGTTAAAAAATCAAACAGTATAATTTCTCGAATAGACAAATATCATCCCCCAATTGAAGTAGACTTAGTTTTATGTAAAACAAAAATGCTCTCTCCAAGACAAACTCCTAAATACAAGTTTTTTTTAGCGAATTATGATAGTATACGAGCCCGTTTATCTGACCTTAACTGGACTTCGGAGTTCCAAAACTGTTCGACTGTTGATGAAGTTGTATCGAAGTTTTACTCTATTATAAAAAAAGTTATCACTGAATTTGTTCCATGTCGCATACAAAACAAAAAATCATATCCTCCATGGTATACAACAAACCTCATAAAACTATTACGAGAAAAGGAAAAATCTCGTCAAAAGTTTAAAAAGTACAGGAATGATTTAGATAAATTTGAATACAATATCTTAAAAGTTAGGACTAAAACATTAATCAAAAAATGTTATGACAGATACATTGAAAATGTTGTTGACAGCGTGATTAAAGATCCCAAGTACTTTTGGACTCATATAAAAAATAAACGTAAGAATAATGGTTGTATACCGTCTAATATGAAATTTGGAGACAAAGAAGCTAATAATGGAAAAAAAATTTCCGACCTGTTTGCAGAAAATTTTGAATTAGTATATAAACCTATTGATATTAGTTTACATATAAACAAAATGGAAATACCAAAGTCTGCTTTCTCCATGGGGAATCATTATTTAAATAATGACAGTATTTAGAAGTGCTTAAAGGGTCTAGATATTACTAAGGGCGCCGGAAGTGATGGGATTCACCCCTTGTTTCTGAAGGAATGCGCAGTAGAGCTTACGATACCTTTACATATTATTTTTAATAGATCATTATCTGAAGGTATATTTCCGAAACGTTGGAAGGATGCAATAATTATACCATTACATAAATCAGGCGATAAAAGTAATATCTGCAACTACAGACCTATTAGTATTCTTCCAGTTTTAGGTAAAGTTTTTGAATCGTTAATTTGTCCTTATTTGACTTGGCATATAAAACATATTATAGCTGATCAACAACACGGATTTTTTAAAAATCGCTCTGCTACATCCAATCTTATTACACTTGTTGACAGAAAACTTACTAGAATGAGCTCAGGGAATGAAGTAGATTGTATTTATAATGACTTTAGTAAAGCGTTTGACACAGTAAATCATTCAGTTCTAATCAACAAACTGCACACATTATTTGGCATACATGGATGCTTATTAGATTGGTTTGCTTCATATCTCACAGATCGAACACAAAGAGTAGTCATTAGCGGTTTTGTTTCTAGAGAAATTATCCCAACGTCTGGAGTTCCACAAGGCTCGCACCTTGGCCCATTACTTTTTATTATGTTTATCGATGATATTAAGCACTGTATCCGTAACTCCGAATTTGAATTATACGCAGATGACCTAAAGATATCCAAAATTGTGAATAATGACACAGACCAAATTCAACTTCAAGAGGATATAGATAGAATTACAGAATGGTGCCGGCAAAATAAAATGTCTCTCAATACAAATAAATGCTATCACATTAAATTCTCTCGAAAATTTAACAAATATAATAGTAGTTACAATATAAATGGTGTAGATTTAGCGAAAGTAGATGAAGTGAAGGACTTAGGCATTGCTATTGACACTCAGATGCGATTTACTAACCACATTAACAATACCATACACAAATCATTAAGAATGTTAGCTTTTATTTTCAGAAACACCAAAGATTTTAAGTCGGTTTTAGCGTTAAAAGTTCTCTATTTTGCACTGGTTCGCAGTCATGTTGATTATTGTTCAGTCGTATGGTACCCGTCTTATCAAAACAATATTCAGCGTATAGAAAGAATCCAAAAAAGATTTTTAAATAAAATATCTTATGTAAGTGGCGTTCATCGTACAATTCGCAGATACTCTGAAAGATTAGCGCATTTCGAAATTTTATCATTGGAGCAGCGAAAGAATTTGCTATCTATAAGCCTTTTACATAAATTACTTAATAATAAAGTGGATTGTCCATCCCTCCTATCACAAATTAACTTGAAGGTGCCCAGAATTTCAGGAAGGTTGTGTAATTTTAGTCCCTTTAGTGTAAATTTCAATAGCAAAAATTATGGTAACAACTCTCCTCTATGTTCTATGATGAGAAAATACAAATATATATTCGGTAAATGTAATATAGATCTCTTTAGTGATAGTCTGGGTTCCTTAAAAAAGAAAATATTTCTATACTACACTCAAACTGAAAATTAAAACTTTAAATTATACAACTTTAAATTATACAATGTTAAGCTCTCTACCAAATTATAATTTTACCTGTTTTAATTGCATAGAATAGTCTTTGTGTTTATATCATATTTTATTATCTGTTAATTTCATAACTAATTTTAAGTTTCATGTAGAAATGTTGTGCATACCTTTAAGTTAAATACATATATAGTATAATTTTGTTTATAACTGCAAATGTTTAATAATAATGTTTTGTATGTGTTTAGTTGGTAAGCCTAAATAAATAAATAAAATAAAATAAAATAAAAATAAAATAACGTTTTTATAATAGTTTTATTACTGTATGTGCGTTTTCATCGAAACCAGCTGTTAAGGTTTTTGCCAGTGTAATCGTTTTGTCACAAAATGTTTAATTTTAAAATGTTTATTTCATACACATGTCAAAGCACGCGATACGGGCAATCTTTAATGAAGACTAAGATGTTGACACTTCAGCCGTTATATATTTAGAAAATATAATTATGTAAATAATACTATTCACGGACCTCTATATATGGCTGGCTATACACCGTGATATTATGAGTTGATTTGATTTTTGTCATTTTGGCGCTAACAGCACAGGTGAACGTCCACGGAACTAATAATAGAGATAAGACAGTGCGACAAATTATATCGATAAAAATTCTATACCTAGGCCTACCCGTACCGTACATTCTATTTATGTATCATATTAATATAATGTCATACAATAAATAAATGTATCAATTAACACCTTGGCCTTAATACGCAAGCTTTATACCTCATATAAAACGAAGATCGATGCTGCGTTGGTTTACGTTTCTATCCGTAACTACGGAACGGAATTTGTTCCGGGTCAACATTGGGTATGTTGGTTTATTCGTGAGGCCTAAATATTCATTTAGTACTGGGAAATATTTAACTAGAGTAACTATACAATTTTGTAATAAATATCACATTATATCATACGAACAGTACGGCACTAACTAACTAAACTACTACTAACTGTCAAATATCAATAATAATAATTTTACCGAAGGACTATTTTTGCCATATCTAAAACCTTTGACCTTATTTCACATGACCTATTTTTACGGAAGTTAGACAAGATTGGGATTAGTGGACCTGCTATTCAGTGGATATCATCATATCTGTATAATAGGCAACAATTTGTCATTATTACTATATCCGATGCAAATTTATATTTGGACAGATTTAACAAACTTACAACGTTTTGTATACACAAAATCATCAATAGGCGACCTTTCTACACTTGACATGACATTTGAGTTTGGGGTAAATAAGGAGATAAGAAATGAAAAAAACTTTCGAAATAATAATAATCTACTACTTTTATATTTACTGGTACTGGAACTACCAGAAAATATTGTGGGTATATTGTACCTTTTCAAAATGGTGCGTGTCTCATGTCTAATAAGACAGTCATCTAAGAAGTGTTTTGAACAAAGATAATTATTTTGTTTCGGAGACCATTTTACAAATTTTATGCTTCTTAGCCATAATTTAATTTAGGGTCAGTTGGAAACCTGTTAATTAATAAACATTTGATTTTTTTTTATAGGAGAGGGGGCAGACGAGCATGCGGCTCACTTGATGGTAAGTGACTACCGCCGCCCATGAACAACTGCAACACCAGAGAGGGAATTGCAGATGCGTTGCCGGCCTTTTAAAAAGGAGTACGCTCTTTTCTTGAAGGTCCCTAAGTCGTATCGATCCGAAAAAATCGCTGATGGTAATCGATTCCACAAGGAAGTCGTGCGAGGAAGAAAACATCTTCTAAATCGCACAGTGGTGGACCGCCAATCATCCAGATGGTGTGGATGGTATCGGGAGTTCTGCCACGATGTGCGTTCGTGAAATTTGGCGGCTGGGATTAATCCGAACAATTCCTCAGAGCACTCCCCATGGTAGATGCGAAAGAAAATGCAAAGGAATGCAACATCTCTTCGCAATGCCAATGAATCGAGCCGATCGGAAAGGGCTCGGTCGTCGATAATTCGAGCCGCTCTGCGCTGGATGCAGTCAAGTGGAAGGAGCTGGCACTGGGGAGCCCCTGCCTAGAGATGG